AATACTCAAGAGCAGCACCACTCTTAATAGTCCCAAGACGGAAACCACCCAAATGTGCTCAGTCATAAAGTGTGGTGCATTCACACGGTAGAGCATTCCACAGCAATGAAAACAAATGGTGATGGCAGCAGGGGTGACAATGGTGACAGTAATAAGGGTGGCGGTGGTGGTGGTGACAATGTTGCTGGTGGTAGCAGCAATGGTGATGGTGATGATGGTGGTGGTGGTGGTGGTGGTGGTAATGGTGGAGGTGATGGTGGTGATGGTGGTGGTGATAGAGGTGATGGAGGTGATGGTGGTGGTGGTGGTGGTGGTGGTGATGGTGGTGGTGGAGGTGATGATGCTGATGGTAGTGGAGGTGGTGATGGTGGCAGTGATGGTTATGGTGGTGGAGGTGGTGATGGTGGAGATGGTGGTGATGGTGGTGGAGGTGGTGATGGTGATGGTGGTAGAGGTGGTGATGGTGACGATTGGTGGTGGAGACGTGGTGATGGTGGTGATGATGGTGGAGGTGGTGGTGGTGGAGGTGGTGATGGTGGAGGTAGTGATGGTGGAGGTGGTGATGGTGGAGGTGGTAGTGGTAGTTATGGTGGTGGTGATGGTGTTGACAGTGGTGATGGTGATGGTGGAGATGGTGGAGGTGGTAGTGGTGGTTATGGTGGTGGTGATGGACGTGGAGGTGGTGATGATAGTGGAGGTGGTGATGATTATAGTGGAGATGGTGATGGTGGTGGCAGTGGTGGTGGTGGTGGTGGTGATGGTGGTGGTGACAGCAGTGATAGTTAACAGCTAACAAATCTGAGTGTTAATAATACAGCAAGCACTGTTCCAAGCACTTTACATACATCATCTCTTTTTTTCCTTTAAATTTTTTTTGTTATGTTAATCACCATACATTACATCATTAGTTTTTGATGTAGTGTTCCATGATTCATTGTGCATAAATGGTGGTGATGGTGGTGGTGATAGAGGTGATGGAGGTGATGGTGGTGGTGGTGGTGGTGGTGGTGATGGTGGAGGTGATGGTGGTGATGGTGGTGGTGATAGAGGTGATGGAGGTGATGGTGGTGGTGGTGGTGGTGGTGGTGATGGTGGTGGTGGTGGTGGTGATGGTGATGGTGGTGATGGTGATGGTGATGATGGTGGGGGTGGTGATGAAGGTGGAGGTGGTGTTGGTGGTAGTGGTGGTGGTGATGGTGGTGGTGGAGGTGATGATGAAGGTGTTGGTGATGGTGGTGGTGATAGAGGTGATGGAGGTGATGGTGGTGGTGGTGGTGGTGGTGGTGATGGTGGTGGTGGAGGTGATGATGCTGATGGTAGTGGAGGTGGTGATGGTGGCAGTGATGGTTATGGTGGTGGAGGTGGTGATGGTGGAGATGGTGGTGATGGTGGTGGAGGTGGTGATGGTGATGGTGGTAGAGGTGGTGATGGTGACGATTGGTGGTGGAGGTGGTGATGATGATGATGGTGGTGATGATGGTGGAGGTGGTAGTGGTAGTTGTGGTGGTGATGGTGATGGATGTGGTGGAGTTGGTGATGGTGATGGACGTGGTGATGGTGGTGGAGGTGGTGATGGTGGTGGAGGTGGTGATGGTGGAGATGGTGGTGACGGTGTGGTGGTGGAGGTGGTAGTGGTAGTTATGGGGGTGGTGATGGACGTGGTGATGGTGGTGGAGGTGGTGATGGTGGTGGTGGTGGTGATGGTGGTGATGATGGTGGAGGTGGTGATGGTGGAGGTGGTAGTGGTAGTTGTGGTGGTGATGGTGATGGATGTGGTGATGGTGGTGGAGGTGGTGATGGTGATGGACGTGGTGATGGTGGTGATGATGGTGGAGGTGGTGGTGGTGGAGGTGGTGATGGTGGAGGTAGTGATGGTGGAGGTGGTGATGGTGGAGGTGGTAGTGGTAGTTATGGTGGTGGTGATGGTGTTGACAGTGGTGATGGTGATGGTGGAGATGGTGGAGGTGGTAGTGGTGGTTATGGTGGTGGTGATGGACGTGGAGGTGGTGATGATAGTGGAGGTGGTGATGATTATAGTGGAGATGGTGATGGTGGTGGCAGTGGTGGTGGTGGTGGTGGTGATGGTGGTGGTGACAGCAGTGATAGTTAACAGCTAACAAATCTGAGTGTTAATAATACAGCAAGCACTGTTCCAAGCACTTTACATACATCATCTCTTTTTTTCCTTTAAATTTTTTTTGTTATGTTAATCACCATACATTACATCATTAGTTTTTGATGTAGTGTTCCATGATTCATTGTGCATAACACCCAGTGCTCCACGCAGAACGTGCCCTCTTTAATACCCATCACCAGGCTAACCCATCCCCTCCCCCCAGAACCCTCAGTTTGTTTTTCAGAGTCCATCGTCTCTCATGGTTTGTCTCCCCCTCTGATTTCCCCCCCTTCATTCTTCCCCTCCTGCTATCTTCTTCTTTTTTTTTTTAACATATATTGCATCATTTGTTTCAGAGGTACAGATCTGTGATTCAACAGTATTGCACAATTCACAGCACTCACCATAGCACATACCCTCCCCAACGTCTATCACCCAGCCACCCCATCCCTCCCACCCCACCCCCACTCCAGCAACACTCAGTTTGCTTCCTGAGATTAAGAATTCCTCATATCAGTGAGGTCATGTGATACATGTCTTTCTCTGATTGACTTATTTCACTCAGCGTAACACCCTCCAGTTCCATCCACGTTGTTGCAAATGGCAAGATCTCATTCCTTTTGATGGCTGCATAATATTCCATTGTATATATATACCACCTCTTCTTTATCCATTCATCTGTCGATGGACATCTTGGCTCTTTCCACAGTTTGGCTATTGTGGACATTGCTGCTATAAACATCGGGGTGCACGTACCCCTTCGGATCCCTACATTTGTATCTTTGGGGTAAATACCCAGTAGTACAATTGCTGGATCGTATGGTAGCTCTATTTTCAACTTTTTGAGGAACCTCCATACTGTTTTCCAGAGTGGTTACACCAGCTTGCATTCCCACCAACAGTGTAGGAGGGTTCCCCCTTCTCTACATCCCTGCCAACATCCGTCGTTTCCTGACTTGTTAATTTTAGCCATTCTGACTGGTGTGAGGTGGTATCTCATTGAGGTTTTGATTTGGACATGGTATTTTATGTGGAAAACCCAAAAGACTCCACCCCAAAACTGCTAGAACTCATACAGGAATTCAGTAAAGTGGCAGGATAGAAAATCAATGCACAGAAATCAGTGGCATTCCTATACACCAACAACAAGACAGAAGAGAGACAAATTAAGGAGTCGATCCCATTTACAATTGCACCCAAAACCGTAAGATACCTAGGAATAAATCTAACCAAAGAGGCAAAGGATCTGTACTCAGAAAACTATAAAATACTCATAAAAGAAATTGAGGAAGACACAAAGAAATGGAAAAACGTTCCATGCTCATGGACTGGAAGAACAAATATTGTGAAGATGTCAATGCTACCTAGAGCAATCTACACATTCAATGCAATCCCCAACAAAATACCATCAACTTTTTTCAAAGAAATGGAAGAAACAATCCTAAAATTTGTATGGAACCAGAAAAGACCCTGAATAGCCAGATGAATGTGAAAAAGAAAAGCAAAGCTGGGGTCATCACAATTCCAGACTTCCAGCTCTATTACAAAGCTGTCATCATCAAGACAGTATGGTACTGGTACATACATCATCTTATTTAATTCTCATAACCCTGTGATGTAGATGCTGTTATTAGTGTTATTTTACAGGAGAAGAAAAGTCCGGGAGAGGTTAAATAACTTGCCCAAGGCAACACACACTGAGGAAGTGACAGCCAGAACTTGAACTTAGGCAGCATTTCCCTACGAGGAGAGGCACAGACGGGGACAGGCAGATAGGACAGGCAGACACACGCTTCAGGTCCCTCCCGCACACTTTCATCAGAATCTGGGGGAGAAATAAGGGAATGCAAGATGCACTGGCATTCTCCCCAGTGGGATGGGCTCAGATTCACCCTTTTTTACACAACCCAAATTCCTTCCTTCATGGTGTAATGTTTTGCAGGACAAATTCTCCCAAACTCTTCCCTTGCCCTTCCCTCCAACTGGAACTACAATATGGTGTGTGGCTCTACTTCTAATGAACACTTACTCCAATTGGTTTTTCCCACTGTAATGACATTAGCCCAAGGAGGGAGCCCTCTGCCGGGGAGTAAGATGTAGCTAGTACACCCTTCCCTAGAAACTGAACCACAAGCAGTCAAGCTCCCACTGTATGCCTGGCTCACCTCACCCCCCTTCGGGAGCATGGAAATGCCCCCAAGTTCTGCTAGCTTACTTTCCCTCTTCTGTCTTAGGCCTCACTGGCCTGTATAAGTTCTCTAACTTTATTAAATGACCTGACTGTATTTCCACTTTTTACTCTTGGTACCTTTTCCTCCTTGTGTACAATACACTCTCCCCTTGATCAGTACCACTCACTGACCACTAATATACTACATATTCACTGCATGCTACTTCACTTTACATGCTGAGTACTACCTCCCCTGCCTACCCAGGAAGAAACTGAGGCATGCAAAGGACAAACACCTAGTAAATGGTGAAGCCAAAACTTCAACACAGGTCTCACAACACCCCAGCTCACATGTCCCAGGACCAGGAAACAAAGTACCTGCCTTTAAAAGGGAGCACACAGTCTCTATGCTTAAACCCACAAAAAAACCCGGGGCTGGATGGATGGATCCCTCATGGTAACATGTCTGAGCCCCTAATGTTTCTCTCCACTCTTTCAAGAGTATTCTTCCTGAGGATCTGGTAAATGTAAACAGCACCAGGGACAAAGGTGCATTCTTTGTTCCTTTATCTTCCTTCGTGTGTTCTTCACACGTCAATTTCAGGATGGCATCAAACTAAAAGAGGAAGAAGCTTTTACACTTTCTGAGCACTGGCTATTTAAAGTGTCTCTTCTGCAAATAAAAAAGATAAACATTTCTGGGGTCAAACCCACCTTTGGTGGTGAGAATTTTGGAGGTGACTTCTAGTTTCTCCAACGGTTCCATCCCAATGTTCTCCAGCTTAATGACAAGCTGCTGAGTCTCCCCGTTGTAAAGCTGGACCGACACATTAGTAGATGTCTCATCGCCAGAAGAAGGTTGCAGTGAGTGTGCAGACCTAAAATAGCAGTAATAGTTATAATAAACTTTAAAAAGAAAGATTCAAAGAAAACAGTGGCATTTCAGAACTATTCACATCACCAGACTTAACACATTCCAGAAGCAGGGACTGGGGAGTGTGAATCCCAGCTATCAGGAGCACAGGGTGAGTGCCGCGTGCACAGAACCTTGCGCGTGCAGACGCGCCCTGCGCTCCCATTCAGCCTTAGCCTCGTGTGTGTGTGTGTGTGTGTGTGTGTGTGTGTGTGTGAAGTATAAAAATCCTTAACTACTGGATTATGGTGGGGCCGAAAATGAAACAATGAATTAATTCAAATGATCTGTGAAGCAGTGCTCTCTTTAAAAATTTGCAAATCTCATGCTCAGAATTGCCTTGTGAAAACGCATAGATTAAAGAAGAAAACTTAGATGAACCATTCCGACTGACACCATGGACACTGGAGGGACAGATCAATGGAAAGTATGTACAAGGGACTCCACGTCACAGGTGAAAATGACGAGCAAAGGCTGCAAGCACCTGATGGGACACAGAGCCCTGGGGTCATATGGCATCTGCGTGGTCGGGTGGGGCCCATGCCACGTGAGAGTGCAGCCCAGCGTGCAGACCTGAAGTCTGCCGCCTCTCCCCGGGGGTTCCTGCACCGCAGCCCTGGGTTCAAACACATACACCATGCTCTGGAGAAGACTGGCCCCAAGAGAAAGGGGGTGGACACTGGAGGAAAGGGTCAACATTCTCTCTTGGGGTAGGAAGGGTCCATCTGGCTCCCCACTCTCTTCCTCCTTGTACCTGAAGGATTTCCACAAAAAGCGCCATGAGTCTACACCATATACTTAACTGAACCAGAAATGGACAGCTGCGGGCCACCCCACCCAGCAAGTGCCCAACAGCCTCCCTGCGAGCCAGTGCTTTCTAGCTCTGCTCCTGGCTGCAGGCCAAAGGACCGGGGTCAGACCCAAGTCCTGTTCTATGTGCCGCAAGAGAGCTTCATATCCCCACACCAGTCCAAAAGACAGACAAGAACGTTCCAGACAATGCTGGTCTCACACCTCTGGCATCCAAGAGACGATGTTTAAACAAATCAGGCTTATCGAGCCAACCATGTGCTTCCTGGGGGACTCCCATTGCTGGCTCTGAGAGAGAAGCTTTATATCCAAACCACATTTTCAGAAAATAATAGCATAAGGAATCAAGGTGAATGCATTGCTTTGCATCTTACACCTTCAAAGTTGCTCATGAGTCAAGAAGTAAACTTTCTCTGTCAAGGAGGGAAGAGTGACTCCTGTCCTCACTATAAATGACTTCTTTCTGTATTTTAACATGCAGTCCTTCTCAAAGTAAAAGCTGTTGGTAGTCAACTTGAAATTGCAGAGGAGGTATTCAGAAAAACTAAAACACAGCGAGAGACTAATTACTTTGCATCTCAAACAGGGTATCAGCCCCCCACCAGGACCACAGGAAAAGAAGGTAGGAGAAAGTAGAGCCGCAGTGCAGCCCAGGGCCCGGCCGACACAGGTGCCAACCGTTCCTAAGTCCAGCGTCCCATGCAACAGAGCTAGAGCCGGAAAGGGGCTGAATCCGGGGGGAGGAGTGACAGTAAGGAGATGGCAGTCACACATGTCCCCTTTCCTGGGCATCTTTTTCCTTGCCTGATCATATGGCCAACTTTTGTGAATCTTGTAAGGCAATTTTAAACATCACACCTGTGAAGCCTTCCTGAACCATGAACGGGAGAGTGGCCTCCCTCCACTTCTTATTTTCAGGCGCACTTAGCAAACTTGACGATGGTGAATCTATCTCCCTTCTGGACAGGAGCCCCTACAATAGGCAAAGTCCAGGTCGAGGGCGATTCTGATTAGTGGCTAGTCGTATAGACCAAGCCTAGATCATGTGGCAGGTGTTGATAAATGTGTGGGAGTAAATTTGATAACTCAGTTCCAACAGTATTTATGTTAATTAGAAGCAACACTCACTTAAGGAATCATGGACGCCACACTAAAGCCACCGAAATTCTTTTTTTAATTGAGGTGTTATTTATATACCATGAAATTCACTTATTTTAAGTACGTAATTCAATCATTTTTAGTCAACTCACAAAGCAGTACAACGATCGCTGCTAGCTGCCCTGTTTCAAAACATTTCCATCGTCCAAACTGCGTATCTTTACAACATCCTTTTTGAAGCAATTAAAATGGAAATTTTTTAGCTTATGTTCTATGGCTATGCAAAAAGTAACCTAGGACACTATGTATAATATAACATCATCTCAATATGCAAACATGTATTTCAAAAAAGGAGGTGGATACACCCTGGAAGGAAAAATCACAAAGCAGTAATAGCAATCATTTCTGGGACTCCTGAGATGTATTTCCCTTTCTTCTTCATGCTTTCCTATAACGCTCTTTAAAAAAAAAAATCTACTTTTTAAAAGATAAGAGTCAACTATTTTTCACAAAAAATATGATTCCAAAGGCTAATCTCCCATTTTGTTCTATTCATGGTAAGAAACACTTCAACTCTGTTCTACTTCCCTTTAAGCAAAGCATATAGTCTACTGGTTATCCTGAAGAAACGCTTTGCCCATATTTTAGTCCTAAGAATCACAGATTAACTCAGACTCTTGGTGCCATTAAAAATGTATGCTTAGAACGATTCTGAAGTGCCCTCTCTTGTGGGAAGGCAGATCCCTGCCCCCTACCTGGGCAGGGAAGTGCTGATCTGCAGTCTGGGCAGGGCAGGAATGACTTCCACCGTGGAGCCGCTGGTCTTCACTCCCGGCAGGTTATCCAGCAAACAGTCACTAAAGACGCCAAAGACCGTGGTATGGTAACCTAGGAAGCAAAATGAAGAACTTCACAGCCCCTGGAAAGGCCTCCACACTCAGGCCCCCATCTGGAGGCCGCCCCCAGCAGGGAGGAGCATGGCCCCCCACCCCAGACCCGAGTTCCGTCAGCTGTCACCCACAGCTCGGCCCGAAGCCTTGGGTGCCCACAGAGACGGGGGGGGGGGCCAGTCCCCACATTCCTACCTCACGGGGCTGCCTGGGTCCGAGTGAAAGCACGTGTGAGTCTTCATCAACTAGAAATCTCTACACAACTTAGTACTAGGGTCTCAACACTTGGACAATTTGCTTTTCAAATCTGCCTGTCTCTGAGGGAGTGATAGTTCGTGTTCCTTTGCAGGACATAATGGCGCTGTGTAAGTATCTGAAAAGTGATGCAAGGTCTTCAAAATCAAAATGAAAGCTCAAGAGCCAATTACTGTTATTATAACTGCTACGTGATCCGGCAAATCTGCCGTATTCGTACAAGCACTGTAATCTAAGATTAGCGAATTTTCCATGCCAAAAAAAAACCTCCATTGGTTAGATAAGCACTTGAAATTATTTAAGCAAAGCTTTAATATGGCTTTTGTGAAATTTTGAGAGATAATTACTATAAACAATGTTCACTGTATAAGAAAAGTGAACAACGCCCGTGACTACATGCTCAGGGTGAGGACTTCTGTGCACGCACAGTAAATGGTTACAGGAATCAGAGGAGCAGCCAGTTAGTTCCGGGCGAGTCAGGCCCTAACGGCCCATCAGTGGCTCCTTCACCTTCTGTCAGTGGTAAAATGCTCTCGCAACGTAAAATCACCAATTCACAGCACCCACGCTTCCTTCCTTTTGAAATATGTTTCTTAAAAGACTTAATTTAACTTGCAAACATGTTCCTCCACTGAAGCCCACATCTGGCAATATGCCCCCTCCTATTTTTCTTTCCAGAAAACCTGACATAATGTGGTTTCGCCTAAGCAACCTTTGTTCTCCATTTCTTAATTAAAATCAGTCATTTTCCTTTTCTTATGTATCGCTGAAGAAGACTGCAAAGAAATTCAAAACCTGATGACAAATTCTGTTATGTCTAATGACATTTCTGATAACATGAAGTCAGGTCTTTCCACTTCCTACAGAAGGTGTGCCAAAAATGCACGCGACTTGTCTGTACCAACTCAGAGCTCTGTTACTAAGACTCTGACTCCTTATCCAGTGGGTATCGGTTATTAATTAGGGGTCAGTCCCATCAGTCTTAATTATTTCCTCTCTCATCTGTCTCCTTTACTCCACTTCCCACCACAGCTGTGACCCTAGCTTCATGACTGCAGCCCAGGATTACGCCAACAGCTACATAGTTGGTCTTCCTGCCCCCAGTCTTGCCCACCTCCAGCCCATACCCCACAGAGCAGCCTGGGGTCCCTCTGCACTGCCTGTCTGACCATACCTCTCCTCGTAATGAAATGCAGCACCTGGGAGAAAGCCCGCACCCCTTAGCTCCTCTGGGTCTGGCATCTGTCTACCTTCCCAGCCTTGTCACTACTTGTCCCTCTGCCTGGGACCAGCTCCTTGGAGCCAGCCCCAGTTCCCAACACTCCATGGGTCTCTGGACCACTTGTTCTTTGTGCCTAGGACCACCCCCCCTCCCCATGCCATTCCCTCGGGTAACTCCTAGTTGGCCTTCAAAGCTCAGGGTCCCTCAGTGGGAGAAAGTCCTTCCCAACCCACCCCCTTCCAGGTCACCTGTCCCCCCCGTTCCCGCCAGCCATGTGCTGGGCCCCTCTCAGCACTTGCTGCCACACATCCTAACCCGGCATGCACCCCTCACCCACCACAGACAACAGCCTTTCCCAGAACTGTCTCTTTCAGTCACCCAGTATCTACTACAGACCCAGCGCACACTGGGGACTGGCAAGGCAGACAAGGCCAGCGAGCAACGGGCCTCGGCAGCAGAGCATTGCAGGAGAGCCGAGCAGGGCACCTGACCCAGCAGCGAGAAGCCGAGGACAGTCTCTAAGACTAAGGGAAGTCTGAGCTAAGAACGGAGAGCAGCACGGGAGCCAGCCAAGTCTGGAAGTACACCAACAGAAGGAGAAGCACAGGCAGAGCTCAGAAAGCCGGGCACGCTTCCAGAAGTGCAAGGAGCCTCTGAGAGGGACAGGTACCTCGGGGAGGCGGGGGGGCCGAGGCACCGCAGGGCCGGAACACACAGGGAGCTCCATAGCCACGCTGAAGGAGTTGAGGCTTGATGGAGCAGGTGTGGACAAGGGGCCAGGACTTCCAGTTAAGAGATGACACGGCCAGACATGTCCTGCAGAAAGGCCACTTGGCAGCAGTAGGGAGAACGGACTCACTAACCACCAAGACGATGCTGAATGACGAGCCCTGTTGCTTATGTGACAAACCCTGTAAGAGGGTCCTGTTCTGCAGGCTCTGAGCGCCCGAGGACATGGATGGGAGCACTGAAGGGCTGGTCAGTAGCGTAGGGGCAGGTGTGGAGCTGGTGAGAGACCGCAGGGGTGGGCACACCTATGAAGGCCTGCTTTGGGTGTCTGGCAGGATGGTGACAACCTCACCGAGTTTCAAGATTCGGGCCACAGGACAAGGGCAGCTGGGGGGGGGGCACTCTCGTTGGGACACCTTGCAGCGAAGTGCCCACAAGGCAGCCAAGGGGCTGGCTGGTTAGAGGCTGACTATGCAGGTTCGGGAAAGGGGTCTGGACGGAGCCATGGCCCTGGGAATCAGCAGCATAGGGATGGGCCCTGAAACCAGAAAAGTCACTGTGAGAGAGGCTGAGATTGCCTAGAGGTAGCCTGCTGTGGGGGGGAGGGGAGGGGCAGATGGGGGAAGGGGGAGGGAGAGGCGGGAAGGACAGAGCCAGGCCCTGAGAAATACCGTGGAGGGGAGGGGCGTGTAGAAGCGGCTTCTGCAGGATGCTTCATGCAAAGGAGAGCAGAGGAGGCGCCTCACGGAAACGGGAGGTGAGCGCCCACAAGGGCAGGTGGGCAGCGGTGCCCAAGGAGGCTGAGCAGCGGAGGCGGACAAGGCTGGGTTAGCTAGGGACTCGGAGACGGCGGTTCTGGTGGAGAGAGGGGGGCTAACTACAGGGCGTAGAGGGTCAGACAACCAACAGCGAGGGGGATGGTGGGTTCTGCGCACGCACACGGACCTCTGAAGAGGGGTGGCCGAAAGGGGAGAGAAGGGTCAGGTCAAGCGAGAGCAAGCCGGGAGGCCGGCAGGACCGGGGGGGGGAGCCCGTGGGCACGGGTGCAGTCCTGCTGGAAGAGGCCAGCAGGACAGCAACAAGAGGCCTGGCACATAGAGCAGGACCCCCCGCCGTAAGGAACACTGTGGGCCCACTGTGTCCCATGCACTCAAAGCCATTCCTTTCCGTGCCACGGCTCCATTATCTCTCCATCGGTGAGAACCAGCACCAGGTGACCGGTGACAGGCCTCAGTGGGGCAGGACAGGGGTTCAGCAGTCCTGCTCGACCTGAAACCAGACAGCAGGTCTCCTTACCATTCACAGTGATCGTTCCAGTCGTCTGTGGGACCCCAACAAGAGTCACTGGGTAAAGACCAGATTCAGCAGGAAGGGAGAGCGCCGCAGGGAGAGACTCGAACTCCACTCCGCTGGTGAGGAGCCCCTAGAGCGAGCAACAGTGGCATGAGAAGCACAGCCCAAACCCCCGCCGCACCACCGGTTCCCCGGAGGCAGAGGACATCTGCTAACGGGCAAACCCCAGGACTGCCGGGAGGAGGGCAGCGATGTGTGGCCTTCATGAGGGTCCACGAGAGCCGCAGGGATGGCCAGAAGCGTGCGTACCACAAACAGCCCTGAAACGGAAAGCACAGTGGGTGTTTGAACACCTCCATCTCGATGTCAGCCCTCCTGGCTGTATTTTTCATATGTGCTTTTTGTTGCTTTACCAAATTGGAATGTAAATGTAAAGAAAAAAAATATGTAAACATAAAGAAAAAAATAAAATATGGAAACATATCATCAATTAATATCCCTCAATGCATCTATGAATGATCAGTTCATTTCACTATGTGCCAGGCTATGCTCGACAGGGAACAAGACAGATCCTCTGGCTTCGAGGAGCTGCCCCAGGATTGTAAACACTGCAGGGATGTCCACGCTCAGCACTTCTCCTCAACACTGTAACAGAGGTCCTACCCAGTGCAATAGGTAAGAAACAGAAATAAAGGCATGCAGACAGTTACTCAGAAAAAACAGAACTGTAAACATAAAAACCCGACGGAATCAGCAATGGAACTTGAACTGGCAACTGCATTTAGCAAAGTCACAAAGTCAGCATAAAAAAAAAAAGCAAACGTATTTCTATCATCTGGCAATAAACAAAAAATATCAGAAAATAAAATACAAAAACACCATTCACTAAGAGATCAAAAACGTCCACTGCGAGGGAACAAAGCAATGAATGATGTGTATGTAAGACAGCCCTGCAGAAATCTGCAGCCCACCGTGGAGACACAGAGCAGGGGCATGGACATATGAGGCCCCGGCTCCTTCCGGGGTTTGTCTTCTGCAGGGCTGTGGCCTACGCTACAGGACTGAGCAAGGAAGTCAGCACCATGGTGCTGGGACCTCAGTCCTCACACTGGGAAAGGACACGGGTGTGAAAAGGGCAAAGGCAAGAGAGGGCCCTGCGGAGATGGGCTAGACCTGGCGGCACCATGGTGAAGTCGGGCTGATCTAGTTTTGCATGTGTGTCCTGAACATGTGTGTGCAGGCACAGGTGTGTGTGCATGTATGCAGATTATGCATGTAGGTTTATATGTAATTACATGTCTACGTGTACACGCATGCATGCTCTTCCTCTGTCTACAGAAAGCACCCAGAAGCAGGTGTTCTAGTGGTAATGAGCACACCTGTGCCACATTTTGAGCCAAAGCATGAAATGATCTACACGGAGGACAGAGGCAGTGGGCAAGCACAGAAAGCACATAGATGGCTGCTGTCTCCAGGCAAAATGTACTGGCATTTTATCTCTTCTTAAAAGAGCAAAAGCAAATATGACCAACAGTTAACAGTCATTAAATGTGGATGGTGGATATTAGGAGCGCTTATTTTTCCCTGTTAACATTTCACATGCTTGGAATATTTCATAATTTCATTTCTTAATGCTTGAAATATTTCATAATTTCATTTTTTAAATTCTGACCATGATTTGTGGGCTACCTTCTAGTAGTAATTTTTATTTTACTCATTGTTCTTCCTAACTCTTTATTAAAAAGCACATATTACTTTTAAACCAGATAAAAATGAAAGCTACTTTTTCTGAGAGAGAGAGAAAGAGAGAGTGCAGGGGTCGGGGGAGGCAGAGCGAGAGGAAGAATCTTAAGCAGGCTCCACACCCAACACGGAGCCCAAGGCAGGGTTCAATCTTTTTTTTTTTTTTTTAAAGATTTTATTTATTTGACAGAGAGAGAGAGAGAGAGCGCAAGCAGGGGGAGCGGGAGGCAGAGGGAGAGGGAGAAGCAGGCTCTGCACTGAGCAGGGAGCCCAATGCGGAGCTCGATCCCAGGACCCTGAGATCATGACCTGAGCTGAAGGCAGACGCTTAACAAACTGAGCCACCCAGGCGTCCCAAGCAGCAGGGTTCAATCTTACAACTCTGAGATCATGACCTGAACCGAAATCAAGAGTTGGGCACTTAACCGACTGAGCCACCCAGGTGCCCCTGAAAGCTACTTTTTAAGACAAAAAAAATGTCAGAAAGAGCAGCAAGCATCTGATACTTGAGGCACTTTGGGGGAAAAATCCTCTGAACAATTATTCCCTGTTCAAGCCAAGAGACAGAAAGTCATTAAGAGGTCTGACCTGAGAGCCAAACCCTAAAGCTGGCAGTTTCTTGCATGGCAGGAGGGGGACAATACTCATCCCTGCTGGCTTCCTCTCTGAGTGACCTCAGGGCTGTAGGCTTGACATGCAGCTGAAATTCTCAGAGCTCTAATGAATTTTGGAAACCTATGTCTCATGCTGAGAGCCTAATCATCGTCTTAAATAACCACCAGTCTGCCTGGTGAACTCCTACTCATCCTTATCTTCTCAGCCGAGCCCTTGTCTCTCCCAGGGAGCCTTCCCTGACTCTCCATGTGGGCTCTGGAGCACCTCATGTACCCACAGCACTGACCGTGACAGGGTCTAGGTCCCCCTAGTGCCCTGCCCACAGCATGATACGTGGCATGAGCGCTCAGCAAGGTATCTTCACAAAAAGCCCACCCCTTACCCTGAACATGAGTCATAAAACTCTAAAAGAAAACATGAACTATCTCAAAACCAGCCTTTGCAAGTCTCTGAAAAAAATCACAAAGCAATACTGTATGCTAATATGTAATATCAGGTACTAACATATAGTACCAAGCAGAGCTACACAGCAACACATGGTACTAGGTAATAACCCATAGTTACCCAGCCGCGCTACATAATAATAAGCACAGAGGAGACTTGAGAAATGGGACCCGCATGGCAGGTGGGTGGCTCTGGCCCGGAGACATCAGAATTAGTCTGGAGAGCCAGTATACATCTCCTTCCCACTGACTATGGAATTAGGTGAGTGGCTCCAATGGACAGCACTACAAAGTGAGCCTTTAACGCCCTACACAAACGTAGACACAGAACAGGTGGATTTCAGACCTGAGAGAAAGCTCCCGCTGGTGGTGCGGTAATTCACTCTCCTACTGTGCAGACCTTGTTCTTCCCTCAGGCCTTGACCATCTTATCATCTTGTAGCAATAAAGTAAGGCTGATACTGAGTAGCCAACAGAACATACACTTTGTAACCTGTGCTCCTCTCATGTAAATTTCAACATGATTATTTCAAATCTCACATCCAATCAACTACACGTGATGTGTGTTCAAATCAGAGGGGTCTGTTCACTGATTCAAACATTGAGCACAGAGCACTAAAGACACAAGAATGACAAGACGTGGTCTTCCTTCACAGAAACCTTATAATCTTTGGCAAAACAAGTATGAAAACAGACATATATCATAGGATATGTGCCTCAAATATTAAGTAAAAACTTAGTTTCATGGCAAGTTGTTGACTGGTGATACATACCATGTTTTCAACTCGGAGTTCAAATGGCATTGGGTTGTATACCATCAGCTGAACTTCACACACGTCTCCTTGAACCCACTGGAAATCTAGAAATGCACACACAAAATAATCTATGCATTAGTTGGTGTTTCTGCATATTTCACATGGTTTCAGATTACTCCTCTGGCAATTTATTTTTCCAGTGAAGCAGTGAGCATTATGATCATCTTTAGATGAAAATAAAGCTAGTGTAACTATAGTCTTCTCTAAAAGCAAGTCATCACTGCCACTTGGATACTTTGTAATGGATGTTTCTCACCATCTTTAGCTGGCTGAATTCATGCAGGTGTGTCAAATGCAACTTTACAAAACTGAAATCAACCCAGACAGCGCTGTTCCTGATACAGACCCATAAGTCACACAGATCTTCACTGGTCCAGAGGCTGATACTTAGGAAGACGGTGCAGCAGTCAACTTTAAGTGGCACAGAGAATGACTCCCCTGTCTCCTCCTTAAGAATGTGAGAGAAGATGGTGGCGTCTCCTCCTGGGTCACTCCCAGGTCAGCTGTAGTCAACACCTATCGAAGGCAGAATTCAGAGAGGACCTCGAGACCCCTGGTCCTGATGTACATGCCCTGCGTAACCCTCTCCCCGAGCGTGAATATGGTGATTGGATTATGTTCTATAACAAAGGTGAGGGGATTTTGTAAAAAGGTCCCCAATCACTTGGCTTTGAGTTAATCAATAGGAGATTGTCCTGGGAGTGGGCTGATCTAATCAGGTGGGCCCTTATGGGGCCCACATCCCTCCTGAGTGAAAAGATTCAAAGCATGAGTGGGTGTATGGAGGAGGCCATAGTAGCAAGGATTGGAGAGGGCCTCCATGAGCTGGGAGGGTCCTGGCTGACAGCCAGGAAGAGAGCAGGGGCCTCAGGAATACAACCACAGGAAGTGAATGAAGAACAACCTGAGGGAACCTGACCCAGATCCTTCCCTAGTCAAGCCTCCAGATGAGGACACGGCCCCACGTGACACCCAGATTTCAGCCTGTGAGACCCTGAGCAGTGGACCAAGCAAACACATGCTAGACTCCTGACCCACGGAAACGATGAGAAAATAAGCCTGTGTTGTTTTAAGTCGCTAAGCTTGTAGTGATTTGTTACAAAACAAGAGAAAACTAAAGCAGTGCCCACGTCCACTTCCACGGCCCTCTACTTCCTTTAAGACACCCTGTTAGGCAAATCACAAGGAACTTCAAAATCAATTAACTTGCGTTGGGCATTGTCCAGTGTGAAGCACTTTCAAGCAGTTTATCTCATGACTCTTCATCACCACCTCGTGAGACAGGTATTATAATCCCTACCGTTAGAGGGTGGACACTCAAGGTCCAAACGAGTTAATACATGTGCCTGGGAATCACAGAGCTAGTAAGTGGGGCCACAGGGACTCAAGCCCAGCCTCCTCCCTCCTTCCTCCCACCCCTCCTTACGGGGCTTCCCAGACCCTCAGGCAGGAGAAACCCGCAGGGCAGGCTCACAGAAGCCATTCTCTAGAGCACACTGCGCCTCGACCTGACCCTTCAGCAGCATCTTTGAGCCCACACTGACTCCAGCAGCAGCCCCCAGCCCCTTCGCACAACCAAAGAAAATACCACTTGTTTTAACAGGTTGCTCTGCCCGGCAGCTAAGGAACTATGTGTTTTCTCTGTCATGGTCAAAAAAATCAACATTTAAAAAATCATTTTCTTGGGGTTCTGAAAGGAACCATTTATACTTGCATCACCCTACTCTACTGAGGGTATAGCTAAGATAAATCGTTGATTACATCACTGATCACATGATTATTTTTGTCTGAAAGAAGACCATCTCGTCTCCAAGCCTCAGTGTGCCAGATCACACAGGGGAGGCCCTTCTTCGAGATTCTATCCCAGAAACTGTAGAAGAACAGCAGTGGGTGGCTGTTCAACACCTGCCCAGCATCAGGTCCTCCCCACGGTGAGCCACACAGCACTCTTTCTACAACATTGGAGGGACCTGCCCAGTAGGAAGCACCTGTGATTTCTCGCTGCATCCCCAGCACCTAGGACAGTGCACACAACTGCTATTCAGAACCTTCTCTCCATAGCTGCCAGGTCCTTAGGAATATTGCCCCCCCCCCCGACCCTCAGAAGAACCCTCTGCGTTAGTGTCTCTTGTCCTCTTACTGCACTCGGGCAAACGGGATCTTGTCTGAGGTGGCAAGTGGGAGGCGGCAGGGCCAGGCTGTAGCCCACTGCCTGTGCAGGCCACCTTGACCTCAACACTGACCTCGACCTCGGCACTGAGCCTGGCCATGTCACAAAGTCCTAGCACAAACGACAGAAAAGCCTTCACCCGCTGTGCTCGAGCTCAGGACCTACGTACACCGCCATCACCTCTGCACAGAGCTGAACTGAGACAGTGGCAACGCTAGCAACAAGGAGACAGAAAGATGGGTAAATTATTCCAAGTTGGAGTGCTGACGGTCCCAGAAACCGCCCCCAGGGGTTTCTTCTTCTCAAACACTCCACGCCCCTGCTGTGATGATAACTCCCCCAATTATACACAAAGATTCATTTATAGAGATTGGAATTTTAGGTTAAAGACGTGATTCTTCAAACCTCTAGGCAGGTCTTCGCTGATGAGAATACTGTGGAAAACATATTAGAAGCCACAGAATATAAATTACATTTTCCTACCCGCGGGTATTCAACAAATAACATGCATTTTGGCCGAGGCTTCTGTTATATTTCAGAAAAATCTTGCATCATCCACTGAATTTATCCTCAGTCCAGATGAGCAGGGGCTTCTCACTGTGAGGAGGAGCCATATTACAAAGAAAGAAATTCCTGAGCTTTGAGTCGAAACCTTGGCTGGAGACCGAGCTGTGCACTTACTAGCTGTCTGACCAAGGGCAGGTCATTTATATTCGGCTCAGTCTTAATTTTCTCATTTGTCAATTGGGGATATAATGCCTGGAGGATCATGCAGTTATACAAATCACTGGATGATGTTTGTTTAAGCCCTCTGCAACAAGTGCAGGGCATTACTTTCACAAAAAGAAGCCTCAACAATTTAAGATTGGAGAGGAAAAACTAAAGAGGCAGGACTGGCTCTAGCGGGGTTGGGCGGGGGGGTTGGAGCTGTAGCCACACAGGCCCAGGCTTGGGCGGGGAGGGTTAATGTTCTGCTGTCACAGGCTCCAGAGTCTTCATAATTTCTGAAATTTCTGAAAAGGGGCACCACAAATCATGTAGCTGATCCTGAGAAGGAGTCTCAGACCTCCCATCTCCCAAACAACCTCCGGAAGTTTCTCTAAACAAAATGGGTCAAAGTTTCCTAAAAACATTCTTTAGGAGAGAAAGCTTATGGCCAACCCCAATGAGACCAGAAAGAATAGCCAGAAACTCCCAGACGGCCCAAAGGAGATAAGCTTCAACTTGATGTTGAGTCTAGGTCTGCCCAGAGAGTGATCTGCCCACCATCAAGAGCCAATAAGAGAGAGACTGGAACAGGACCCAAGTCTTCCGCCTCCAAAGAGGTCAAAGGAGGGTTCCCATCGGAAGACAGGCCCCGCTCACGGGAACGTCCACAGCAGCGGGTCCAGGAGCCCCCGGCCCTCCCCGGTCTGCCACGAGGCCCACCCAGCTACCCTGCTTCCAGTCCTCTCAAGCTTGTCCTCCAGAGCAGGGGCCCTGGGAGCAGAAGGGTGAGCCATCTCAAAATCAACAGACTGAAATCAGAATGTCAAGGACAAATTTTCACCACAAATGCCTACTTGGTCAGGCTTCTCTCCCCTAACAACCAGGAGACACTTGCAGCTAGCTGGTCACTCATTCACATTAATGAACATTTACTGGCTTTTACTCACACCTTATCAGATGCTGGGCGCTGCTGGACCATGGAGATGGGGCCACCGCCACGGCCACCCCAGCCAAGGCTGCCACAGCTGCCATCACCAACCCGAGCAGAGCCACTTCTCCCGGCACTGCAGCCATCAGCAGCAGGGGGGCCCCCAGGAGCAGATCCGCCTCCACCTTCCTGTACCTTCACTCCAGGCGAGGGCCTCCGTGGCCGACCCAACAACATCGGGAAATGTCGTTTTCAGGCTTTTAGCCCAAGCAGCACGGTGAGAACGGCAGGCGGGGTCAGAGGACCGAGGGGCAGTATCTGACCACCGGTAACCATCTGTGTGGACTGGTTTTTGTGCCCCTTACAACGTCTGACCCACAGCAGGGGGAACTCGTGCCCATACCATGGATGCAAGAGCACACAAGCAAAATCATTTCCCAGAACGCAGATGGAAAACATTCCAACACTGTCAGAGAAAGCTCAAAGTCTCATCGTTTTAAATATATTAAATATATTTAAAGTCAAGGAAAGGCAAGGTTCCACACCGCAGAAGAAGCTATTTTTCTCCACTTCAGCCCATCTTTGCTTATTTAATGGCACTAATTAGAACTAGCCATTATTTTATTTATGGGTCCACTTACTTGTACTTACTACTTGAAAGTACTGCTGAATACTTCCCTCCAACTTCTACCTACATACACCTCACGACGGCAGGGACCATGACTGCCTTGTCGCCATTAGAACCACGGGGCCACGGAAAAACTCGAGGGGAGCTTACTGCCGGATAAAAGACTGAACCAATGGAGAGACACACGTGTGCACACGCACAGACACACGCAGATAGACACGCGCGCGCGCACACGGTACACGCATGCGCGCACACGCACAGACAAGCGCATGCGCACACACGCAGATAGACACGTGCATGCGCACGCGCAGACACACACAAACGCTGTAGTGCAGTATGCTATACACTTGGGGCTCCTAATTTCAGAAACGTAACAGAACTTACAATCCGATGCTATTTTTCAAGGACATGTTCCCACATTTCTATTGCCTTCTTGATTTAAATAATGAACAAGCAGAGCCCCCCGAGCCACCCCTTGCTTCTCGAGAGACAACCTCACCATCAAGGGAGCCTCCGGGGCACCTTCCCAGGTCGGGGGTGTCCCCGCTCCCGCTGGACCAGCGCTTACTGTCCGTCCAAGCTCAGCAGGTAAGCCAGCAGGTCCTGCTGGTGGCAGTTCTACAGTTTTAGACAACTTGACCTACATCTCATCTTGCCGTCGCACTCCTCGTGTGTTTCTGCCCCGCCTGCTGCCTCCACTGACCTGGAAACCCTGTGCAGAGCAGGGACTGTGTGCTGTGTCTCACTCAGGCCCCTTCCATGTGTGCTCTGCAGGCAGGAGAAAACCATCCTTGCTCCAAGAACACTGAGCTGAACTAGGACACCCTTGGATAAAGCACAGGGTGAATAAGAACTGTTGGCCATTACAAGAGAGCAGCTTGGGGTCAGTTTAGTGCTCCTACCCCAGTCATGTCCTCTGTCCTAGGAACAACCTCCTCACTCAGGAAATACTTTGTTTTTAAGGTGTTCAAATAACTTACTAATTGTGAATAAAGTTTATTATGAGATGCTTCCAGATGCTAAGGATTTCTAGTGCTGGTATTCATGTAGGAACTCTTCACTGAGACCATGTGAGGTGCATAACGCTCACACTATCCCTCTGGCCTCAGGCCCCATGGTGCCGGCCAATAAGCACGAAATGCATCATGAGCCAAGGCCTGCTCTGAGTTCTTGAGCAAGTCATTTGAACTCCCTGAATCTCAGTTTCCTTATCTGTAAAATGGGGTTCATACTATCTACCCATTCCTCCCCACATCTGTACAACAATCTTAGAGCAGCTGTCGGTAGGGCGGGGAGCAAATGGAGGGAGGGGAAACAGAAACATGAACGTGGACGTAGGTATTATAAAGAGACCTGGGCCTCGAAGGCACAGAGTGCTGGGAGGAGCATCCTCTCTGGGGGTGGTATGGGGATGAGCCTCGGCAGAGGGCACAGACAGCACCAAGACCGTTCTGTTCCAAGAACAGACCCGTGTGGCTGGGTCTGAGGAGCAGGGGGTAGGTAAGAGAGGCCGGAGAACAGAGAGGCAGGCCGAGGACTGCACAGCAGGCCAGGCCACGGAGGGCCGAGGTCCACGCTGCGGGGTGGGTGGTACCGCCAGGGCACAAGGGCACCTATACCCTGGGAAGTAGGGTCTCCTGAATGAAGTAAGGCTGCCTTTTTGCTATATTCACGGTACAGGGATTACGAGTAGAAATGAAACAGAAGAAAGCCCTGCACTTCAGAAGCAGAGAGCAAAAGCTTCTCAGGTCTTGTGTTGAAACTCCTCAGAGAGAATCAGCAAGTACCCACCAGGACAGGCCTCTTGACCCCTTTGCTTTGACACTGTGACACATAGGCTCATGTCTGGCAGTGATCAGCACCATTATCCAAAATGTCAGGGGCCCAAGGAAGAGGGAGCTGGCAAAGAGCGAGGCCCACTGCTGGGCCAGGCACTGGGAAGACGCTCACGAGCCCTGTGTCTGCCGTGAGCAAGGAGGGAGCAGGCAGGGCTGGGGCCCGGTGGGGAGCTTGGCACACAGAAAAGCGCATTAGAGAGTCTCAAGAATGTGTGCTGGCTCCTGCTCTACCCCAAAACATGGGTCCACCTGTCCCTGCTGAGCCCCCAGACCCGTCAGAATTGGCATCCTCAGCCCCCAGGCAAACAAAGCCAGGGCTGCGAGGGCCAACAGAGAACGGCATGCACTGTCCCTATCCCCCAGGCAGGTCTGAGCTCAAGTCACCCTCTGATCTTGGATGATCCCGAAGTCACTCTGGGCTCCAACGATCCCTCTCCTGTTGTCTGCTTCAGTCCTGATTAACAGAGGTCTTCTGGTTTCTAGAACTTCCGCAGACTCACCTTTGATGAAATCGATTTTAAAAAATCAGATCTAGGGCCAGAGTTCTGACAATGGCAGCAAACTGCATAAAGTGAGATGGAGCCCATGCAGACACACATGAAGGAACCGGAATCTAGAAAAGCCGCTGGAGGCCAGGCGGCAGGGCACAGCCAGAAAGTCAGGAGGAACGCACCTACCTATTTTCTTGTTCCGCTCTTCTCCACGGTTGTGCGCAATAATTGGTGAGTAGATGAACGGGCTCTTGGTCGACACATTCTGACCCAGCAAGCTCTTCATTTTCTGTGGCCGGAGGCTGGCAGGAAGGTTCAACAGCTTCACACGCCTAGTGTTTCAAATGGAACAAAAAATACTTCAACTGCCTTGTTAGCTCGGTTTCGACATAAATACTACCAAATCCCATGTGTCAGAAAAACAGGACATCCCAGAGCCGAGGGAAAAGCACTCCAGCTCGGCAGGAAGAGCAGGAGATCACTGCACGTGGTCACTCAGGGCCATCCTGGACAGCAGCCGCTCCCCCCGCCGGCTCCAGCGGCCGCGAGGACCAGGCCGAAATCTGCATGGCACTGCCTGCCAGCTGTATGCCTGTGGGTGCCTTGCCTTCTTCCACCCTCGGGCTCCTGGTCTACAGAACGCACCCAGGGCCCTCCCTCACACACTACTGCGAGGGGTCACGTCAGGGCTCAGGACCTACTGCTCAGCAAGGCCAGTTCTCTTCTCCCTCCTGGCGGACATGCCCCCAGCACACAGGAGAACAGGGGACTGGAAGGGCCAGAGGTTAATCGCGCCGCCTGCGTCATGAAGAGCAAGGCTGACCCCCCCCGCCCCCCAGCACAGCCTGTATTTACACTGCTCTCCCAGCCGCAGATGTGAACTCATCGCCACTCCCACTGGGATCGCGTAGCTCCCGTTTATTCGGGACTCGCCAATCTGCGCAGCCTGAGCACACCCAGGCCCCTGCTCACCACCTCATATGTATGGTCTCAACAAAACATCCCAACCACCCTCCTAGCTTGGCTTCTATTACTAACGCCTCCACGTCATCGATCAGAAACTGACACCACAGAGACAACAAGTTGTCCAAATTGCCAGACTGGAAGCTGGTGACAGCAGGAGAGACTACGCTCTTAAACCTGTGACCCCCCCTCCCATGACCAGCGAGGCAAATAGGGTTAGGATCTGAAATGTTCTGAGGTGGGGAAACGGGGTGGCCTGGCAGTGACCCTGCCAGCGCTCCTGCCCTGTGTGTGTGTGTAGCCTCCTCGCAGGAACGTAAGGCCAGTGGGAGGTAAGGGAGTCATGCATGTCCTCCTGGGACTGAGCCCTTTGTTTGCTTTTCATTTTATTTTCCTTTCAGCTCCTTTAGGATGCCTTTTTTCAGTTTTTTTTTTAAGATTTTTTTTTTTAAGTAATCTCTACACCCAACGTGGGGCTCAAACTCACAACCCCAAGATCAAGAGTCACATGCTCCACCAACTGAGCAGCCAGGCGCCCCTTTTCATACATTTTTTTATCCATTCATCTGTTGACGGGCATTGGGTTGTTTCCAAGTCTTCGCCAACGTGAATGATGCTGTGATAAACACGCGGGGCAGACATCTCTTCGAGACCCTGTTTTCATTCCCTTCGGATACATACCCAAGAAGTAGGATTGCTGGATCATAGGGTAGCTCTATTGTTAATGTTCTGAGGAATCTCCACAGTGGCCGGACTGATCTGACTCCCACCAGCAATGCATGAAGTCCCCTTCCTCCTCCCCCCATCTTCCTGATGACAGTCACCATAACAGGTGCGAGGTGGTAGCTCATCATGGTTTCCACATGCACCTCCCTGATGGTGAGCAATGCTCAGCATCTTTATGGTACATATATACAACGGGATGTTACCCAACCTCGAGACAAAGCACTTTGAAGCAGTGCACCAGCCTCCAGCTCTCGTCCCCTCCTTGGACCATCACTGACGGCCACACACATGACTCCGTCCATTTCCCACAATAATCCAAGGGAGCAGACCAAAGTCCTCGAAGCCAAGGACTGCATCTTGTATAGCTGCTCTGACTCCCTTGTCTTTGCATGGACCCTTCCGCTAAGCTTTATTCATACAGGATCAGAATCACTTAAAATTTATCTGTTTCACTTTAGCTGTGAGCTCTCCAGGACAGGGGCACCCAGGCACCCAGTGCCTGGCACAATACTTTAATAGATACCTCAGTAAATATTGAATGAATAAACTCCCAAAAGTTGAATTTTTTATTTTTATTTTTTCAAAGATTTTATTTATTTATTTGAGAGAAAGAGCATGTGCACAAGCAGGGGGAGCAGGAGAAGGGGAAGCAGGCTCCCCCGCACCCCGCTGAACAGGAAGCCCGACCTGGGGCTCGATCCCAGCTCCCTGGGATCATGAACCAAGCTGAAGACAGACGCTTAACCAACTGAGCCACCCAGGTGCCCCCCCCCGGAATTTTTTTTTAAAGAGTTATTCATTTACCTGAGAGAGCAAGTGCACTCAAGTGGGGGGGAGGGGCAGAGGGAGAAAAGAATCCCAAACAGACTCCCTGCTGAGCACAGAACTTGACTCGATCTCACAACCCTGAGATTATGACCCAGGCCAAAATCAAAAGCTGGACGCTCAACCGACTGAGCCATCCAGGCACCTCCAAGAGTTGAATTTCTAACTCAGCTTCCAAATCGTTCAAAATTATAAACTCAAGCCCAAGCAGTTTATTACTAACAGTTGCAAACCCTAGCCATTTGTAAGCACGCAAAAAATACCTGTGCACTGCATGGGGACTAAGATGAGCAAACTGTAAAGCTGGCCGAGACAGCACGCCTGGTGTGGGTCTCATGTCCACGCACACCCAGTCCAGAGGCGTTCCCCTGCAGGTAATTCTCAGTCTGCCCGAGAAGCAAATTTAGGTGGTGTGCAGACCCAGACTACCATCTGAAGGACCTACCCACTCTACAACTGGCACAGACTACTTCATCTCCCTGCACCTCAACCTTTCCACCCATAAAACAGGAGAAACACCAGCTACCTGATAATGCTGTGGGGGAAGAGGGCACCCCCTTTCCCTAGTCCCATGCTGCCATGGGAAGGGTGTCCTCAGAGGAAGAGCCTCACCGTGCCCCTCCCTCACTCCTCTTAAGGGAGGGGGCCAATCTGGAAGGAGAACCAGGGTGTGCAATGCTCAACCCCTTCTCGTGGGGCCCGTCTGCCCGCAGGCGTGCACTCTCCGTCGTGCTGTCCACGCAGAATGAAAGGGGTCTGACCCTCCCAAAGAGGCGTAGAGTCCCACCCAGCTCTGCTAGACACTGGGGTAACGTCATCTGGCCAGACCTGAGCCATGCTGTTCACCGGATCTTCCATCTGTCTGAGACAGGCCTTTGTTCCTATTGATTCCAAACTCAGGCAAAGAAGGAGGAGTATCTGAAGTGGTATATTCAAACTGTAGCAGGCTACTTTGAGGACGAAGCAAGCTAAGATACATAAGCACATAATAGGTGCTTTAGTGCCTCACACAGAGCAGGCTGCAAAAGTGTTTCTCTTCCCTGCCTTAAACCAACACTTGTTTACAAACAGACAGCAAAGCCCCTGGTGCAAAGACTCTAATTCTGGACTTGTATAAAGAAATGAAGTTTGGGTCCCAACCCTGCTACAAGCAGGCTATTGAGCCTTGGACCAGGCACAGTCTATCTGAGCCTTAAGAGTTTATTCATGTGTAATATGAATCTGTTTTCTTGGAACACAAATAGGTTTCTATGACATGCCACCGTCACTACCTAAAAATGAGATGTCATCTGTGTTTCTACAGGATTCATCTATACCAGCACAGAAATTCCAGATCACATCAAAGGCTCTTAAAACATGCAAAGGAATTCTAAGGACATGGTCAGCCAGAAAAGTAACCCAACAGTGGCCACAGGGTTCACGCATAACTTGAAACTTAGCATCAAATATCTTCTTATAAAGTGTATCCTATGGGAAAAACAATCACTCAAGGCACTTGACCTACAGGACACATAGCTCCTCTAGCATGAATCCCTGCAGAACCAGTAAGACCACATTTAGTCTATGAAGCTGGCAACAGGGAAGCAGAGTTCCAGGGGTCAAGTGTCCAAAGCAGGGCTTGTAAGTAGAGATTCCATCTGAAAACTGCCCCACATCAAAGGCCGGCTGTGCTCAGCTCATTGTGGCTGGCGGGGACCGAGCGGGGCCCTGCAGGGGACTGGCTGGGATCCTGACCCGACACACACGGACGACGGGAGTGTTGGGGAAAGCGGCTTCCCTTCCCTCACTTGGTTTTGAATCCATCTACCTTCTCCACAGCAGAAGCATATCTAAGAGCCCACCGCGTATCTCTGCACAGATGGACAATGACTCAAATGGCCACATGTGCCCCACACTGGGCCGGGCGCGACGGACATGGCTGGAAAGAGCACACAAACCACCAGGTCAGCGAGCACCCCACTCTCTCTCCTGACTGGACCACATGCTTCTCACGATCCCCGTGAGCCCTAGTGCGAGCTCCGTCAGGGAGGTTGCAGGCATGGCAATCACACAAGCATGGGGGAAGATTCTGGACAACATTGCACCTGATGAGGTCGTGGGAGCCCCACCTGGACTGGGATCCGGGAGGCTGACTGTCCTGTTTCATCAACCAAGAAAACCGCCCCAACTATCATGGGCTTCTAAGCCCTTTTTTGAATAAATATGTGTAATCCTGTCTCAAATAATATAATTAACTTAAAAGTTTTGGGGGTGCTTCACTGGCTTAATCGGTACAGCGTGCAACTCTTGATCTCACAGTCGTGAGTTTGAGCCCCACGTTGTGTGTAGAGATCACATAAAAATAAAATCTTTGGGGCACCTGGGTGGCTCAGTCGGTTGAGCATCCAGCTCTTGGTTTCGGCTCGGGTCGTGACCTCAGGGTCCTGCGCCAGCTCCGTGCTCAGCAGGGTGACTGCTTGAGGACTCTCTCCCTCCCTCTCCCTCTGCCCCTCCCCCTGCTTGTGCACATATGGGCTCCCTCTCTAAAAATAAATAACTAAAGTTTTAAAGGCACCAAAGCCACTCAAAAGCCACTCAAAGGTCATTCTGACTGAAGGGTTTGGTCCTTATCAATTAAAATACCCTCACTAACTCCAGAGCTCTTTGCCAGACTGAAGGAGCTCAATGTTAGCTCATCAAAAAACAACCAGCGAACGCCCTCCAGCCCGCCTCCAGTCCACCCCTCCGGAAAGCCCCACTGGTTCACTGTAAATGGCATTTTAGCTCTACTACCGTTTCTTCTTTAATAATTCACAACTTGCTATGTGTGAATAGTCTCCATGACTGTTACTTGCTTTTGTGTACATTACCATTTTATGGAGAGTTCTAGAAGGAATATAAGATGGCTTCTAGTTTTAATGGGACTTCTATGCGCTTGCTCTGGCCAGCAGGAACTGGGTATGGGTTTGGCAGCCCTGCTTGACCATCTGGTGTGAATCTGGCCCTTGCTTGACCAGGACTGAAGCCCCAGAGTTCACCATTGGGCCAAGCACATCTCAGGCACTCAATAAATATTTGACTCATTGAATTTTAGAACAGAATTACAGCAGGGATATATTTTGGCCCCCCCTTTTTTTTTGTTAACTTGCATCATCATTACTTTAAACCATTTCTGGATGAGCCCAGGTCATGCTCCCACACCCACAGAGCAGGTAGGTGTCTTCCTGTAAGCTGATGAGATGGTTTGTTCAAAATTAGGAAAGTCCTCAACAGGAGCAATGGCTCCAGTCACTTCTTGCAAAGCCACAGCCGTACCCAGGAGGCGTCACCAACATCAAAGTAGCTTGTGTCTGACAATTCTACACAGCAGGTCTGGTCACTTACGCATGGCTGTGGGCATTTTCCCACCAACTCATTCTGTGACGCTTATCAGAAGCATAGTCCTCAAATGTACCTATTGCTGAGCTCTTTCTTATAATGCCTGGTTGGGATTTTTTCTTAATTAAACTGATAAAGTCCATGTTTCCAGGCACAAGTCCTTGGAACACTGTCCTAGTCCACAGTGCTGCATCGGCCCTCTGCGGAGAGAAACAAGGCAGGCTGATTTTGTAGGAGGGCGGCAATCCCATACGCTAACCACAGAGCACAGACTCTCCGAGGGCCTGCCATGCTCCGAGTACTGACCAGCAGGCACGTGGGTCTGCCAGCTTTAGTCGGCATCCCAGAACACCCTCCATCTCTGTTTGCTTTTGCACACGACAATGCAGCTCTGAGTTCTCTGCTGCCTAACTCCCGTCGAGAGCTCACTCCTGAGAAATCACACTCATGCCTGACGGACATGCAGACCACCCACAACGTGAGACATTCCCCGCTGTATGGCTGGGACTATCCAGGCCATCAGAGTGCTCATCTGGGTCAGCCCGGGCTGCTCTGACAGAACACCAAAGATGGGGGCCTTGAACAGCAAACATTTCCTTCTCGCAGCTCCGGAGGCTGGAGGTCCAAGATCGGGGCTCCTGCACACTTGGGTCCTTGGTGAGGGCCCTCCTCCTCGTTCACAGGCAGTGCCCTCTCACTGTGACCTCCCCTGAAGGAGAGAAAGAGCTCTGGCCCCTTTATCCACAGCCAAACTGCAGCCGAGGTAATTTGCAATGTATACGGAAGCTGTACCTATTTCTATCCAGTGGCGTTAGGAAAACGCCAATGGAGGAGTCAATCCTTCAATTAAATCTTGAAAGATGACCAAGTAACAATAGGCAGAGTCAGGGCAGCAGAGACATTTCAAGCAGAAGATGAAGCCAGAACAAAGGAATAAAACTCCGTCACACACTTTGGGACTCCAAGTGCTTCTGCAAGGTGTGTGGCACTGGCAGGACCAGAGGAAGAGGAGCTCACATTAAATCTGAGACAGAGCAGGCCACAGGCAGCCTTGTAAGCCGTGCAAGGCAAGCACGTGGGGTTCTGTTCTATGAGCAACAGGGAGCAGAGCGGACGGTGAGATACACCGATTTTCCAAATCTTCCAAAGGCATTTCCTTACACTTTGCCAGTGGTGCTAATGCTACCGTGGGGTAAAAATCCCATCCACGAGGCTTCCTACACCTGATCACATGCAGTTTATAGTTCTAGTTTTTAATGAGATCAGGCATGAGTGATGCAATCAGTGAGTCACTGGGACAAAAAAGGCTTATTTCTGTAGCTGAAAGTCTCCAAGAACCTTAAGAACATGTTTACACAAGGTGGCTAGTACATAAAACCAGTTTTTCTTAAACAGTCCAATACAGGCCACACAGACCCTGACAGTGAAAGAGATACAATGCCAAAAAACTGGTCACCGAAAATTTTATAGTATTTGCCGAAAAGTTAGACTATTATGCTTCCACCCAATCTGTTGTTATGTTTCTAGGCAGCTAAGGGATTAAAATGTTAACATCAGAGTATTTTTTCAATCAGTGCACTGTTTGAAAATTTAGGTGTACTGGGGCGCCTGGGTCGCTCAGTAGGTTAAGCCTCTGACTCTTGTCTTCAGCTCAGGTCACGATCTCACAGTGGAATCGAGCCCCGACTCGGGCTCCGGGCTGGACGTGGAATCTGCTTGGGATTCTCTCTCTCCCTCTGCCCCTCCCCACTTTGCTTGCACACACGTGCTCTCCCTCTCTCTCTAAATAATAACAACCACAATAATAATAATAATGAAAATGTAGGTGTAAATATCTCCAAGAGAAAACTGAGACTTATGGAGTGCTCAGGATGTACCAGCCACTGTGTTCCATGCTTTTATATGCGTCAGCTCAGCTAAAACAAAACCAATAGCCCCATGAGGAGCAATTTTTAAGCCTATTTCAAAGATTAGGAAACTGAGGCTCACAGAGCCCAGGCCACACGCTAGTGAAGAATAAACCCAAAGTTTCTAACTTCCATCCAGCGCTGCGTCCGTGACACAGCCTGTCCCCTTCTGGTGTCTCTGTGTGGAGAACAGGCACTTTTCCTCCTCAGTCCCAATAACCTGCCTGGACCAACCACCCAGCTCCACTGACAAAAGTCCTGACAGCTTGGGGATCTAGATGCAGCATCAAAATCCTAGAATGTCCTGTTAGGTTCAGGATGTTCTATTATGCAAGGCTGTCTAAACTTAAGAATGATCCAGGTCATGATGAAGATGAAAAATTATTAAGAAAGGCTTTTCTAGATTTTAATTTAAAAAAATACGTACCATACACTTAATCCCAAATCAAATACATTCTACTTGAAGACTTACACACAGAAAGGCCCGGCAAGGACCCGGACTTCCTGAGTTTGGATGAGCCACGAGGAAGCAGAGTGCACAACAAAACTACAGCACACTTCCTCGGGGGCCCTCCACGCCAGGGGCTGTAGGTCTGCTCTGAGAAATTCCAAGTAGTAGCAAGAGCACCTCTTCAGACCACGGCCTAGGCTTTGGGATGGGGCAGCTTGCCAACTGTGCCTGATAAATTATTCCATGCATGCCCATCAGGACATCTTAAAATTCAAGGGTAGCCTGCTAGGGACTTCTGTGCATAGTGACCCTTTCTGTCCCACCTCTCAGGGGGCACACAATCCTCACCTTGGCAACAAAACCATTTCATGTGGCAGTGCTACACCTGCCTCCAGGGAAAGGCAAGGAGAAAGCAAACTCGCAGTTATCAAGCACGGCACCACAGCCTTTGACATGTTCTTTTCCTAATAACCTAATGCCGTGGGTTTTAAAACTTCTTAAGCAAACGGATGCCCAGGGGGGTTAAGCGACTTGTTCAGTAACTCTGTAGGCCCTCCCAGCTGTATTGCAATGCTGAGCGAAACCTGGGAGAAACAGCCGAGCCGGGAGTGCTTCAGAGATGGTCACATCTTCATCACATGGTATCCTACAGTCACAGCACTTCTATGAATGGCAAAATGTCAAATTTCCACTGCTTCTTTTCAGTGTTCAAACAAATCTTTCAGAAATTCTAAAATCATTCCATGAGATTAGCTCATAAACCCTTTTTAAGTACGCACTTTGCATGTGCCAAAGGGCCCTCAGTCTCTCCAGCCCTGCGAGCTGTGCAGAGGGACTGGACACAGTGGCAGATACTGGGAGAGAGGTAAGCAGCAGGTGCTCTGGGAATCCAAGGACTCTTCTACCCAAGAGCAGATGGTGGACAGCAGGAGGAAGTATCAGGAAAAGCTTCCTAAAAATGGGGTCTGTAATGAGTCTGAAAGCATGAGCGTGCACAGATTACAACGGGGAGGAGGAAGGATGACTCCCAGAGGGGGCAGAGCCTTAGCAAAGGCACCACGGAATGTACGAGCAGCTATGCCCACTCCCGGGCTGTAGGGGCCTATGGTCTAAGAATGCGGGCAACCACCGGAAGCTTGTAAGTAGAAGAGGCAAGGTCAGGCTCAGGGCATCACAGCAGAGGTCATGACGCGGGCTCTGGAACCAGGCACACCAGGGTTTGCACCTGGCTCTGCCTTTTGACAGGCACATGACCGTGGCAGGGCCAAGATACCCCTGGCCCGATGCTCTCATCTACACAACACTTACACTTCCTGGTGCTGTTGTGGAGTCTTAATGAGATAATGAACCAGACACCTAGCCAATCCAAAATGGAAGCTCTTGGGGCGCCTTGGGGGCTCAATCCGTTAAGTGTCCGACTCTTGGTTTCGGCTCAGGTCATGATCTCCAAGTTGTGAGATCCAGCCCCGTGTCAGGCTCCGAGCTGGGCGTGGAGCCTGCTTGAGACTCTCTCTCCCTCTGCCCCTCCCGCAACCTACCCCACCCTAAATAAATAAATAACATCTTTAAAAAAAAAAAAAGGAAAGTCTTGTAAAGATCTGTAGAAAGCGCTGGCAGTGAAGGGCCCGATCTGCACACAGGCAGGCCCGCCTTACCTGACAATGGGAAGTTTGGTGAAGGGCACTGGAGGCAGGGTGGGGCCGCCCGGGAGAGTGAGGAGCTCCATTGTCCCAGGACATTTGCATGTGTAGTTCTCTAGACTCTGAGTCACATCTTTCTTTTCTGAAGAGAAATTTAAAAAAAAAAAAAAAAGTTAATTAACAAAACCTAGGGGGCTTGGGGGTTTTTTGGGGGGGCGGGAGGGGTTTGAGCAAAATAAAATTCTTAACCCAATCCATGACAGTCCTTTGAGTCCAATCTTCTGACAGAAATAAAGGGGCGCTGATCACAAGAGACAAAAAGCAGAAGCTTTAGTCACTTTATTTAAATAATCACTAGCAACTGCTCCATTTTAGAGGTACACAGGAAAAAAGGAAGTTACTGTCTTATAGAAGATTTCATTTCCCAAGAGAATAAATCCTTATCAAATTCCAAGAAAGTCAGTGGGCAGGCAGGACTGGTGAATGGGTATATTTTATTACCTGACAAATATTCTTCCACAAATTATTAGGTACCAAGCAAAATGCCAGGCGCTGTCCCCAAGGAGTTTATAGTCCATCTATATAACAGATATTTAAGGGAATAATTACACGTCAACATTTTTGGTACAAAAACAGAGCTTTGTGAGATCAGACTGTTTTGCTCTGCCCCATCCCCATCCCTTCGCTAGGAGGGAAGGGAAGAGGAACCAGAAAATGCTTGCTTATCGTCCACGACATGCTCTAAACATATGCTCGCAGACTTCATAACACTCTAGAGCTCAAGAGCACGTTCCGCACCCCAAGACGCGTAATTACTCAAGAAGACGAGCATTTTGATACCCTGTCTGGCAGACGCAAAGCCTGACACCAAGTTGAGTTAAAGGGCTCCTCCAAGACCTTGTGTTGGCCCTACGCCTGTGGCCTTCTCATGGATCCCTTCAGAAGAGTGAAGAGAAGCAGGGACCGGGGACGGGGTGAACTACCAGGAGTGGAGAGAGCCAAAGCACTAAAAAGCAGCGACTGCAGATGAGCACACGATGCGCAGTGAGATGGCGAGAACTGGGAGACACGAGACAGAGTTGCCAGAGAACAGGCAAAGCCTGCAAAGTGATTCCAGTGCTCCTCGAAGCCCGGGGAGCAGAAATAACAAATATCCAGGCAAGGACACACATTGGAACTGATAAGCGGCAGCCCCAGGCATCTCCTGTGTCTGAGCTGTCATTCTTGGGGGAACACGAGGGCACGAAAGCAACCAGAATTAATCCTGGATACGACACAGTAATGCTCATCCACAAGATGAACAAAATTATTTAAATAGTGACATCGTCTTCGATGTACAGAGGATGAATCTCCTGAAGGGCTCCAGCCGACAGCGCGCAAATGACCTAAGCTGTCTGATGTTACGTGCAGTGCTCCCGGTCCAGGTATCCTATTAAGTCGAATTACGCCCTCTCAGTAAACCCCGCTTAAGTGAAGATGGAAACGAATCTCCTTGCGAAGCTCAGTGCCACCTGCAAGGCTAGCAGGTTCCTTGGCTTAGCTACAGACTGGCTTCTCCGCAGAGAAGTGAGTGCCAGCAGGGAGGCACAGCGGCCGCCGGCTCCTCCTGCTGAGCCAGCTCGCCAGGGAAGCCCTGGCCTTTGTGTTCCGGCCCCTCCTTTGGGTCTGCTCATTCTCCACGTGGAGGATGAATCTGCTGTGGGCATCGTCGGGGCTCTGCAGAAGCCAGGGGAGCAGGTGCACATCTCAATATCCTTGCCGTTAGTGGGGCCCTCCCTGCCAGCTGCGCCAGGGGGCTCCAGCCAATCACCCTTCTCCTTATTCTCCAGCAGGTGAAATGCTAATCTGCTGCCGAGGTGGAAAGCCACCTGCCCCAGGAGCCGGGGAGGAGATGCGGAGATGTACTCAGCTCCTGAGACGATTATCAGCACATTCTCCTGCTCCTACCCTTCTCATCACACTGCCATCCAGAGGACCTATGCCTTCTGGAGCTTCTGCCGGGCACAGGAACTCAGGCTGCTTCTCAGCTTCAGGTCACTATAGTGCAGTTTCCAGAGTAAAATGCTCCTGGGCGATTGCTGGTGTGGCCCACCCACTGGAAAGGTCCCATCGACCTTTTTCCTCATGGATTTGAGCATCTGCTATACATTGTGGCCCGGATTTATTATTTTATCAAGGATGACAAAATGGTGATTTTGTAATTCTTTAATTTCTCTGTACCTAAAACCTAGAATTTGTCTATAAGGAAGGGTTTTTTTCCTCATCAACCAATTGGCCCCCCTGAGACACAATGATAGAGTAAAGAGGGTTAGCAAACAGACTTTCCATGTATTTCCTGGAGTAGAGAACTACCCCCAACAGTGACCAGAGACTTATACCTGACTTAGGATCATTGCAAACTGGTGGATTTTTATATATTTGGTATTTCAATTGATTGCCATCACACTCTTTCTTGATGGTCAAACTGCCCCATCTTTGTCCAGTCAGAGCCCCTTCACGTTGATTCCTGTGTCCTTTAGATAAGGCCCCGTTACTCATCAACAGCTTGCTCCTTCTAGCTCATTTTCAGCCCCAGACCCAGAATCAAACCACTACTCCAAGCAGCCCTGGATTCTTCTAGTGTGAAATAGTGTTTAGAGATCAGAATCTGGAGGCCGGGGTGCTCATTGCTACTAGATTCTGTCTCTCTAGACCTTGACAAAAGGGTCAACTTACAAAAATTTTTTAAGTGGTGAGATAGTAACTGATTTTTCCTTTAAATTTTGTTTAAGGTGTAGCAGCTAAAAATACAGTTTATTGGACTACAATTTCCTTAAAGGGAGAGTCTTGTCATCTTTTTTGTTCCTCCCTAACTTGTCAAGAGTGCTCAGAAGACAGAAGGTGTTAAAGGATTTCCGTGTCTGAAATAAGGCTGACCTTATTTCTTCAAAAAGCTAGCACAGAATCATTCTTTGTTCAAGAGTAAAATAAAAGAGGGGCATCTGGGTGGCTCTGTAGGTTGAGCATCCGACTCTTGATTTCGGCTCAGGTCATGATCTCAGGGTCGTGAGATTGAGCTTTGAGTCGAGCTCCACACTGAGCATGGAGCCTGCTTGAGATTCTCCCCCTCTCTCTGCCCCTCCCCCACCTCTTCCTCTCCCCACCCCCCCCAAAAAAGAGTAAAATAAAAGAACAAAATGAACACATGTTCTCTATCCACACAGTGCAGACTAGCCAGCAACAAGAGCCCTGGAGGACAGTGGCACTGAGCTCCCCTCACGCAGAAGCACCGCGGGCTCGGCACTTCGGGCGTCCCATGTGGAAAGAGAACACAATGTCAAAACAGAACGTTACAATTCCTCGTGACTTCACAGAAACAGGGTCAGAGTCTGGGAGAAGAGCACGCAGGAAACCTGATTTGGCCAAGAAGGCTTCATAAGGAAGAAGCAATACTGGTCTTTGTCAAGGGCCACCAGACCCCGGAGGCAGACACATGAGGACAGCACTTGGAGGTCTTGCTGCTGCAGGGAAAGAATGGCAAGAATAAGGACATACGGCGACTGAAGAAATCTGATGTCCGAGGCCCACGGTGGGGGGGGGGGAAGAGGAGGGACATAGAAGGAACACCAATATGTCATCATGAGCTGTATGTACAGAAGAAAACCTGGCAGAGAAGCTGCCTAAGGCACGTGTGAGAGGAAACAGACTAAGATGGAAAACGTCAGAAGGCGTGACGGATGTGGGCAGCACAGGGGCTCTGCAGGGAAAGAGCCAAGTAGTAAACGGCTCTGGCTGCAGTGGGGGAGGGTAACCCTGGCTTTGCAGGGCAGCGACTGCCAAATATTTCACATACGCCTCCCACATGTGTCCCCCCTCTGTGAGACAGGACGCCTCAGAGACTGATGTTTGCTGCAGGGACGGAGGATGGACCCAGGTTTGCCAGGCAGACAAGGAAGGCTTCCTGTCCGGGGAAGGAAAGTAGAGATGCTCAGAGGCGAGAAACGGGGTGGGGAGTATCATTATCCCCCTCTTGAAGGTGATAAACACTAGCTCGACAACAATCTGGGAAATGTGATTGTGGATTAATATGAAATGCTACCAAAATAACTTATTAATTTTTAAGTGTAATATTAACATTGTGGTCATATAGGAAAATGTCCTTTTTTTAGTAATGCATACTAAGGAATGAAGGAATGAAATAAAATGATACCTTGGGGTTTTCTTTAAAATAATTCAGCAAATAAAAAAAGCAAGAGATGAAGTAAATGTATAGAAATCTTGCTAACCATTGACTCCAGTGACTGATAATGGGAATTCATTTTATTATTCTTTGTACCTTTATGTTTGAAAACATCTCAAAGCAAAAATACTGAATGAGTTTGGGGAGGTGAAATGATTTGCTCAAGAGAAGAACAAGGTTGGAGTTCCAATCCGAGTTGACCGAGTCTTCCCGTCCCCACAGATCAGGCCTGAACACAGAAACCCAGTGTCAGGACAACAAACACGGAAGAACACAAGGCCACAGTGGTACTAACCCGTGTTCCACAAGCCAAGCCGGAATGAAGCTTGTGATAGATCCGAACATTCCCATAAGCATATGATTTGGTCAGAGGGAAGTGATGACTCTTCATTTATTTCACTAAAAATCAATTGCTGTAGTCTGCTCTGGCTGCCATAACAAAATGCCATAAACAGGCTGACTTACACCATAAGCACGTGTTTCTCACAGTTCTGGAGGCTGGGCGCCCCTGGCGAGAGCCCACATCCTGGTCTGCAGCATATGCACCTTCCCACGGTACCCTCACAAGGCCTTCCTTGGCGCATGTGTGCGTAGACAGAAAGAGCTCTTGTGTCGCTTCCTCTTCCCCTAGGGCGTTCATCCCACCTTCAGGGTCCCCCCTCAAGATCTAATGTACACCTGATCACCTCCCAAAGCCCTTACCTCCAAATCACCTTGGGGTGGTTAGGGCTTTGACATATGACTTAGGAGGGGGAACATGAACATTCAGCCCATAACATCACTATAAATCTTGTCCAATCTTGATCAGGACACCCAACAATTATTTGAGTCAAGCTAGAGCACCTAATGCCCTTGAGAGTTATTTTCCATCCCAGAAATTAAAGAAATCATGCAAAGAAAACGTTTGTAAAGAAAGTTGCCAC